AAAAAAAAGGATGGTGAATGTTTATTTAGAAGTTCAACATTTGTCTTTGCTCTGAAACGAGCATAGAGCTATTCTCATACTTTATAATTACTCTTTCATTTGACTCAGCCCTATTTATACATATATCTCTCTCTCTATATAGATATATCTATATAGGTCTGTGTGTTTAAAAATTTTGTAAGGCAAAGAAACACCCATGGGTAAGAAAAGCTGACAAAAAAATACAGTTTTAATATAGATTTAGTTTTTTTCCTTAAAGATTTTGTTATTGTACAGCAAAATATAGAAGTGTACACTAAAAACAGGTAGAGCTTGTTATGGGGAAACCTGGTTTTTAATTAAAACCAAAACTTAAAATCATTGTACCTATTTATCTGATTAAGGAATGTCGTTTTGTTTCAAATAAGATAAAAAGAAAAACTGATGAGATGATTAAAACAGCCAAGTAGTAATTACAATTCAGAGAACCTGACTCAGTAGCCTATACATTAAAGCCCCTATAAATGGAGTTCTCAGCAATAATATTTAAACCAGACGGTTTAAATGAGACCGCTCTATAGCCCTACATGTAGAGCTATGAGGGTGTATTCAAGTATTAAACATATACAGTGTAAAATATTACTAGCAGGTTAAACAATTACATTTAAAACAGACCAGTCTTAAGAAGGTCCTACAAACTGCCTCGATGCTTCCAGTTATTGATTATCTCCTTCAACGTTTGTAAAAACTTCAAAAATAGGTGTCAGAAGTTGAATTTTCAGGGAAAATCCCTTTTTTTTATGCACTGCACACTAAAAATCAAGGGTATGTTTCCACAAAACACTCCCATAAGCTGGTATGAATCTAGTTTTTCATCTCTTCGGATATTCAGTCAATAACTTATAAAGTAAACAATCCTTCCTTCATTGCTTGGAAAGAATCCCTGGGGCTATAAAGATGATTTCTGTGTTGCGTTGTTCAGATGACCTCTGTAAGTACCAAGCATATCAATAATTATACGTACATTACAAGTATACACACACGTATTAAAAAAATAATAATAATAGGGAACAACTGATGCTGCTTGGCAATTCTATAAAATCTGGATAAGAGGAACACTGAGGGGGAATTGCCCAAATGCAGAAAACATTTCTTCCTCTTGTTCTGTAATATAAATAGTTATACTAGATTCACACATCTGCGCGTGCAATACCCAATGCACTGTAACATGCTGTATATATGCACCACATCGCACAGGTGTAAATGGTCCATTTGTTGTGCTGACAAAAGAAACACCTTATTTCCTACTTGAGAAAAACAGAAAATCTCCCTACTTCCAGTATATACGGTATGACATGATAGATAGGAAATGAGGGGAAATCCTCCCCAAAAACAAGCACAAAGAAAGCAATAAAAACACTTTCTGGTAGATTTCATCACTGCCTGCTTCCCCATAATGGCTGTCAGACAAAAAGGACACACAGAAAGCATTTAAATCAGACAAAAATTATCCTGAACAAAGAAACAGACAATTATAAAAAATAATAGATGTAACCCTTCTCCACCCTATCCTAAACTATAAACTTCCATGTATTACCATACCTGTCGTTTGTGACGTTTGCACATTATCAACCTCAAAAGCTATAATTGGATTCAGCGGAAAGTCCTCGATACTGTTCCCTTCATTATTTAGAGCGTCAAGTTTGATTGGTTTAGTTCCAACAGGCAAATTGATGATCTCTTCAAAGTTGTTGTTTGGCGTACATAACCCATTTTCATTTGGTTGCTTCTCCGTGCTAAATGGTATTTAAAAAATGAACAAATTGACAATTACAGGGCAATCAAGGCTTGAAATTACACAGCATGTCAAGACCAGACCATGTACATCGATCAGCCATATGTCTGTACACACAGTACATCGCAGTTTGTTACGTATGGGGCTGTGTAGCCACAGACTGGTTAGTGTGCCCATGCTGACCAGTGTCCACTGTCAAAAGCACGTACACAATGTGTGAGCATCAGAACTGGAACACAGCAATGGAAGAAGGTGGCCTGGTCTGATGAACCATGTTTTCTATAACATCGTGTGGATAGACAGGTGCTTGTCTATCGTTTACTTGGGGAAGAGATGGCACGAGGATGCACTATGGGAAGAAGGCAAGCCGATGGAGGCAGTGCAATGCTTTGGGCAATCTTCTGCTGGGAAACCTTAGGTCCTGCCATTCATGTGGATGTTACATTGACATGTACCACCTACCTAAACATTGTTGCTGACCAAGTAAACCCCTTTAGGGAAACGGTATTCTCCGATGGCAGTGGATAATGTGCTCCGCCACACTGCAAAAATGGTTCAAGAGTGGTTTGAGGAACACAACAACGAGTTAGAGGTACTGACTTGGCCTCCAAATTCTCCAGATCTCAATCCAATTGAGCATCTGTGGGATATGCTGAAAAAAGTCGATCCATGGAGGCCCCACCTCGCACCTTACAGAACTTAAAGGATCTGCTACTGACGGCTTGGTGCCAGATACCACAACATACCTTCAGACGTCTAGTATACAGGGATATGGGAACTACTAGAGCCAAGCATATACATACATACATACATACATACATTGAACTAGATGGACCTGTGCCTTTATTCAACCTCACCTACTATGTAGTAGAGTTCATGCCTCAATGGGTTAGGGCTGTTTTGGTGGCAAAAGGGGGACCTACTTAATATTAGGTGGGTGTTCATAATGTTATGCCAATCAGTGTATATAGCTCAGATCGAGCAGCTACATTTCTAGTTCAGATACATCACCACCCTCTACAATTTGGCTGATAGGAGAAAGCTAGGGCTTGTTTTCGGCGCTAAGGACCCTGTTGGGGAGATGTCACACTGTAACCATCACCTGACTTACTCAGAACCTCTTCCTAGCTTAAAGTCTAGAGCTCCACCAACCATATTCCAGTATATTTCCTTAAAGAATTGAGATGTTTAGTATGATAGGAAAAATAAAAGCCTGATGTGGCTAAAAATGACAGCAACCTGTATATTTTTATTATATGTCTTACAATGATGCTCTCCAAGTCAACTAAGAGCAATTCATGTAATATTGCTGCTTCACTGGCTATATCAAAGTTTTTTTCACGGGCACTGGTGAGGGGCAGCATGCTTTATGCAGCACAGGTACCAGCATTCCGAGTCTCACCTGTCTACAGGAAAAGGCTGCTGAAAAGTAATAATCCTTGGTGGAGGAGTCAATGATTCTCCATTGCGGGAATTTTCTTCTGTATCCTGGAGGAACATCGGTTCTTGTTCCTCTGGTAAAGATGACGGTGTGATGGCTGCAAAGAAAAGAGACTACAGTTACCAGGCTGCCTGTATGCTATTCAAGACCTTAATTGAGTTAATAAAAAGTTAACACATTCTATTTTTATTTTGAAATGTTACAATTGTCCTAACTTAACATACATTGTTAAAATTCAAAAAGAACAATGCACTTGGTTAGGCCCTGTTCACACCTGGGCATTTTGTAGCGCATTCCTACGCTCTGCAAAACGCTCAAACACCGAAATCCCATTATTTCCTATGGGCATGGTTCACATCTGGGCGTATTACAGGCCGTATGAACGCGCTACAAAACACCCTACGCCCAAAGAAGTACAGGAGCTTCTTTGGGGCGTTTTTGTCACGTGTATCCATTGGGATACAGCCAAGTAGCCCTCGGAAACGCGTGTTTGTCGCGCGTTTTTCTTACCGTGAATCGTGCGCCACGAAACGTGCGACAAACGTGCAAATTCGATACGCCTAGGTGTGAACCCAGCCTAAAACAATAAACAATTCTAGTGCACCATGTATCTGACACAGCCTGATTTCCCTCTGCCATCTGTCTGCCCAGAAGGCAGCTTTAAAGTCATATCTACTCTGGTTGCAGCACTGCCTCTGAATGCACTCAGCTCCATAGCCCTGAAACTTGCATTTGGCTGATTATCCAAGAAGCTGGCCTCACATGCATATACAGAGCTTGGACCTCAGACACAGAGGGGCAAAGGTCAGGTTGTGCCAGAGTACACGAAGCGTGTTTACTGTATGTTGATGTAAGCTAAAGACTAGTGCTCTTTAAATGAAATGTAAAATATGCTGTAATCAGATAATAATAATAATATCTTAGTTATAATAACCTAATGACAATGATAAAATATGTCTGATATTGATTAGGCAGTATTGGAGAGCCTAAATAGCTTGTTCATCTACAAATCTGCACATACTATACAATACATTGAAGATCACAATCTGTAACAAATGAACTCGTTTTTTATGTTCCAATGTGGTCTGCCACATTAGTAAGTCATGATTACTGGCTTGTTATAGTAACTACCTGTATTCTCCATATTTTTAGGTATTTCCCCATTTCTTTGAACAGTGGATTGCTGTAAAAAAAAAAAAAGGCAAAGCACAGTTTTAATAATAGGTAAATACTAACTTTATCATCTTCAAGTGATGCCCAAAACTCCTTGCTGTGGCAGAACAACAAGGTAAATAAAATGGCAGCATTGAAATACCACAATCTGGCTACTCTAATGAATCTTTATATGAATCATTAAGACTGGGGATTGAGCAATATTAATAGAAAGAAAAGACTGAAAGGAGAGGGGTCAATGTGGGATTGTGATGAAAGACCTTTGAATGTAATACATTTTCAGGAACTGGTAACTGAAATGGGATGTTGTTATTTAAACTACATTTGCCTTGAGTTATTGGTTATCTAGGCTGGGCAGGGGTAGCGACTTCCCTGCTTTGGAGAAGTAGTGCTAGTAGAAAAGCTCAGCAAGACGCTGATGTTTTGAGAGAAGTAAATTTGAAAATCTTTCAAATGTATTGGCTATGGATAATGTCATAATATATATTGGGAGGGCAGAATAGGTACTATGGGTCTATGCACTTACCGTTAACCAATCCATTTCTGTGAGACTATTTACAGCAGGAGTAGCCAAACTCCGGCCCTCCAGCTGTGGTGGAACTACAAATCCCATGAGGCATTGCAAGATTCTCATAGCCACGTCTCCCAGAGAGAGATGCATCGTGGAATTTGTAGTTTCACCACAGCTGGAGGGCCAGAGTTTGGCTACTTCTGGTTTATAGGGTGCTTTCACTTCTCGAAGCCAGAGAGTTAAAGGAGAACTATGGGGTCAGTGTTTTTCCCCATAGTTCTCCTTAGGGTAACGGGAGGACACAAACTAGCATCCTCCCGTTACCCTAAGCTCAGTATACCGCGAGCTACAGCTCGTGGTATACTGAGACGCCGCAGCCGGAGCGGATCCCGACTTAGATGACGGGATCCGCCCAGCTGCGTGAGTGACAGCTGGCTAAAATTAAAACAGATCTTTAACAGACATTGGCATGTATTAGAACTTTGCCCCACGATAGCAAATATAGTGGGTCCACGTCCCCTATTGACGGCACGGAGAGCAAAAAATCTAAAGGACCCTATTGTCAATTCTGAATTTAGACCTGCCAAGGATGCATCATTCCTGTCAAAAATGCCAAAAGTAAATGGAATGTACCCCTGCGGTAGATGTCAGGTATGCCCCTACATTCAAAGAACTAAATGTTTCCACAACACGGAAGGTACAAAAACTTACCAAATAACCCAATATATAAACTGTGGGAGTGACAAAGTTGTATACATGCTAGAATGCCCCTGTAAAAAGTCATATCGGCAAAACCAAAAGATAGCTACGTGTACGGATAGGGGAACATTTTAATGTTGAATCAGTTTTTATTAGTATTTTTTAACAGTTCCTTAACAATCAGTATCAAAACTCAAGAAGGGTACAAAAAGTACAATCAGTACAAATACAACGAGGATATCAGGCTACATGAATATATGCATTGAGCAATGGTGTACTGGTGTGATCATTCAAGCATTAAAAGGGAAGGTGACCTAGATTCGGTCACACAATACGAAAAGCTAAGGCCTTTCTATGTTATGCATAATTCCACCTTAGTGAGGAACAACACCACGATGACTATGTGTACATTATAGATCCGGTGGTAGGGGAACATTTTAGAGATATTAAAAATAAGGTCATTGATAGCCCATTAGCGATGCACTTTGCAGATTACCATAATTCTTCCCTGGAAGGCCTGAGGGTTAAGGGTATCTATGTATTGAATATATCCTCAAGAAGGGGAGACTTCGATAAAATACTCCAACAAAAAGAAAAGACCTGGATATTCAAACTAGATACCATGATACCCTCAGGCCTCAACAATGAGATGAACTTAAGTGTTTTTCTTTAAAATCCTAGTTTACAAAACTCTTCAATCCTATATATATATAGGGTTGTTTTCATATTCTATTTGGTTAAAAGATTGGATGACAAGATGTGAACATGTTCGAAATGAATGAATGTTGAGATATACCTCTTGTCCTCTATAAATACAAACTCTCATCTCCACTTAAATTGATTAACATATTCTGAGTTCAAAATTAGATGGCAGGTGTGACAGGGCTACTTAAATAGCCACTCACCAGCTCCTCAGAGAAGCTCTGACGAAGCCCGGCAGGAGGGGCGAAATGCATCGGCTAATGTGTGCTTGATTGAACAGCTGTGTGACCCTACACACAAGACAACCTCCATGTGAATGGATCAGACAATAGATCTACCACATCCATAAGGGGAGGAAAACACCAGCGGTCAGACGTGGAGCCAAACACCATTTCGCGGAACACTGGAATACTCCAAGAATCACGGTGCACCGTGTCTACAAATTGAAACCCAAGGGATAAGCTTCCCCAAGATCGGAGTGGACAGAACAGGGTTGAGACAACTAACAGTGAGTACAACAATACACCGACAGCAATATATCTCACTTGTCTCCACTCTCCAATCACAGCTAAGTGATGGGTGTTATGGACTCACGCTGAACCCGGGATTCTGAGATGATGGATCCGATAGCACAACAACACTTTTAAGAAATCTTAATCACCTCAATTTATGTTTACTACGGGGACACTGCAATATTGTTATCAAAGGATACTTTGGGGTTGATTTACTAACCTTATAAACACACCACGAACGCGTATACACCTCTGCAGTGTGTTCCCTCCCAGCATGATCTATGGGTGGAATCTAAACACCTTTGTAATGTGTACACACCCAGCAGGTGTGTTGTGCAAAGCCCTGAATGAATTCCAAGGTGATGTTGGGTAAATTAGCTCTATGTTGTGTTGCTTGCGTTGATGAATGCAAGGAATGTAAATGCATGAGCTAACCATTTTTGTCTAAACTGTGAAGCAGCATTATATATGCATCATGTGCATGATTTTTCCATATATGGCATTAGTGGAAATATGCTTTTAGAGACTTTTTGGTTGATAAATACGTTTTGCTGTGTGAAAATCACACACACCTGGTGTGTGTGTGTGTTTAGGTTAGTAAATCACCCCCTTTGTCTCTGAAATCCTTAAATGGACACAGATCCTTGAGGGCTAAATATCCGTATATTGACATCCTTCGTGATACAGGGCAATTCCCCTCTACCCACAAGAATAGAACCGTGACCATTTCTGATGATTATTTATAGAACCGTGAGGGATCAATATCACTAAACGAAGAATCCCCTTGACGATATATAGGAGGTTTACATTGTCAATGTTTGTGTGGGGCCCACAGGTTTGCATGAGTGTATGTATGAGTGTTAACAACGTTGTCTTTTAATTTTGAAACTTGAGAAGCACATTAATATTGTTTGGCATCCTGGTTACTTTAATCAATTTTGTACTATTTTTTCACTGATAAAATTGGTCTCGATTTATTTTTATGAACTGCTACTCCCAGTTACCTTTTACCTGGGAGACCTCCTTACTTCTTGCATATGTTTATTTAGTTCAATAGGAATACCCCTCCCCCTTTTTTTTTGAGATAAGGGGCATCCCTGCCTAGTTCCTTGCAGTAAGGTAATGGGGGAAGATATAAATCCTCCCGAGAATATTCTGGCTATAGGGGACTCATACATAGCATGTATAAGCTGAAGAAAATGACCCTCGAAACCCATCTTGGACATTAGGCAAAAAAGCCAATCATGTCTAACATAGTCAAAGGCTTTTTCAGCATCTAGCGTTATTATGGCACATCCCTCACCAGGCTCACGTGTGCATTGATCTAGCACTGCTAATACTTTCCTGATGTTAATAACAGCCACTCTACCCCTGGTAAACCCTACCTGAGTGGGGTGTAGGAGGTGCGGCATAATAGACGCCAGTCGGTTGGCCAATATTTTTGAGAGTATTTTAGAGTCCACATTTAGTAGAAATATGGGTCGATAAGAGTCTGGTAACTGAGGATCCTTATGAGGTTTTAGGAGCACCTTAATATATGCTTCTTTGCCTGTGGGCATATACGACCCTGTAGTCCACATGTGGGTAAGTGCTTTGTGGAGTGTGGGTAGCAGCGGTGTTTTCAGGAGCTTATACATTTCCGCAGTGTACCCATCCGGCCCTGGGGATTTGCCATTACTCAAAGAGGCTATCATATGCATAATTTCCGACTGTCAGCGAAACTCCCGCTCTGCGCATGCGCAGCGGAACATATTCTATTTGGTTAAAAGATTGGATGACAAGATGTGAATATGTTTGAAATGAATGAATGCTGAAATATACCTCTTGTCCTCCATAAATACAAACTCTCATCTTCACTTAAATTGATTAACACATTCTGAGTTCAAAATTAGATGTCAGGTGTGATAGGGCTACTTAAACAGCCACTCACCAGCTCCTCAGAAAAGCTCTGACGAAGCCCCGGCAGGAGGGGCGAAATGCATCGGCTAATGTGTGCTTGATTGAGCAGCTGTGTGACCCTACACACAAGACAACCTCCATGTGAATGGATCAGACGAAAGATCCACCACATCCATAAGGGGAGGAAAACACAGGTGATCAGTCGTGGAGCCAAACACCATTTTTCGGAACACTGGAATACTCCTAAAAATCACGGTGCACCGTGTCTACAAATTGAAACCCAAGGGATAAGCTTCCCCAGGATCGGAGTGGACAGAACAGGGTTGAGACAACAAACAGTGAGTACAACAATATACCGAAAGCAATAGATCTCACTTGTCTCCGCTCTCCAATCACAACTAAGTGATGGGTGTTATGGACTCACGCTGAACCCGGGACTTTGAGTTGATGGATCCGATAGCACAACGACACTTTTAAGAAATCTTAATCACTTGAATTTATGTTTACTACGGGGACACTGCAATATTGTTAGCAAAGGATATTCTGTTTCTGAAATTCCTAAATGGACACAGATCCTTGAAGGCTAAATATCGGTATATTGACACCTTTCGTGATACAAGGCAAATTCCCCTTTATTTACAGGAACAGAACTGTGATTATTTCTGATGATTATTCATAGAACCGTAAGGGATCAATATTACTAAACGAAGAATCCCCTTGAGGATATATAGGAGGTTCACATTGTCAATGTATGTGTGGGGCCCACAGGTTTTGCATGAGTGTATGTATGAGTGTTAACAACGTTGTCTTTTAATTCTGAAATCTGAGAAGCACATTAATATTGTCTGGCATCCTGGTTACTTTAATAAATTTTGTACTATTTTTTTCACTGATAATACTGGTCTCGATTTATTTTTATGAACCACTACTCCCAGGTATCTTTTACCTGGGGGACCTCTTCACTTCTTGCATATGTTTATTTGGTTCAATAAATCTTGATGACCAAGTCCATCCCAATTGAATAGAAATATACACATAGGTTTTTGGTCTCCAGGAATACCCCCCCCCCTTTTTTTCTGCCTATCTAGAGGCAGAGCCAGCTGTACCCGCCCCCTCCCCCGTCCGTTCCGCCAGTCAGCGCTGGCAGATCGGAGCGGGGAGAGGGGAATCCAGCCCTCCCCCTGTCACGGCAGTGAGCCGTGACAGGATCGAGAGCTGAGGGAACCCGGTATGTGTTCGCTCACCTCCCGATCCACTGAGCCGACCTGTGACAGTCTCATTGTCACAGGTCAGCTAGAACTATGACGTGAGTGGAAATCACTCATCTCATAGTTCTCCTTTAAAGTGAACCTCAAGCTAAAACCATTTTTTGTAACATTTTAGATACAGCAAACTTTGTTTTTCATAATGTCTGGAAACACCAGAGAGCCAATGAATGTCACCAGCACCTAATGACTCTCCAAAGAAACACATGCAATGCAAAAACGGAAACAGGAAGATGTGCTTAGGGCAATAATTTGGGTGTCATCAGGCAAGGAAAGGAGGGAAAACCATCCCAATCTGAAATCAAACAGCAGTGAAACAAATTGTGAATCCTTCGTACATTACTTGAATGATAAAACTAAGCGTTGGATGGAGTTCCAGTAGAGAGTGTTGCAATGGAGGAAATGTCCATAGCACACATATCCATGGGTTCCTATGGACATGCAGTATGACACTCCGGTCACGAAGAACATACATTCCCATTGTGCTAGGTGTACATTAGGAGTGAAAATTGCAACAGGTGACAAGTATTCTTATTTATTTTCTTGTGAAGCAATATAATAGCAATATAATAATCAATACTTGATGATTGTACCTTATCCCCAGGTTCACTACGCCTCGTCCTCTTCATGATCTCCTCCAGCCGCTATAGAATAAAACAAAAAAGTTTTTCTTTAGCTTGTGGAATGCTTATATTGTGCCTTGTCTGAGTTGGTTGATATCCTTAATATTGCTTACCTAGCTATGCAGATACAGTTGTGCTCGTAAGTTTACATACTCCTGGCAGGGCGATCAGGACACATTGGAGGGGAAATTTATCAAAATGGGAGCAGACAGAATCTGGACAAGTTGTCCATAGTAACCAATCAGCTTCTTTCTTCAGTTTGTTGAGCTAAGTTTTGAAAATGAAAGAGATAAGCTGGTTGGTTGCTATAGGCAACTGCTCCGGATTTGATAAATCCCCCTCCTACCATTGTGATTTAAAATAATCACAGAATAGCATAAACATAAAAAAACATGGCAATAAAGAAAAAAGTAAAATGGCCCTATTCAAAAGTTTGCAAAGCCTTAGTTTTTATTATTATGTACTGGGCCCTTTAGAATTAATGACAGATTGCTTTTGTCTTTTGTGATGGCTGTAAATAAAGCCATTTATTTTCTCATTTGCTAAAGCTGTCCATTCTTCTTGCCAAAAACCTTTCAGGTCTTGTACATTCTTTGGTTGCCTAGCATTAAATGCATGTTTGAGATCTCCCCAAAGTTAATGATGAGGTCAGGATATTGAGGTGGCCACTGCAGAACCATTACGTTTTTCTGCTGCATACATTAAAGGGTTGACTTGGCCTCATGTTTCAGATCAATATCATATTGGAAACAAAAATGTGCCCCATGAGCAGCTTCAATGCTGATGTATGCACACTTTTCTCCAATTTATATCTGACAATATGCTCAATTTCTGAGCCCATATTGCCACTTGACTAAATTCCCTAAGTTGCTGTAGTTCACACACACCCAAAACAGAAGAGATCCATGTCCATGCTCCACGGAAGGGATGGAGTTCTGCTCCATATAGGCCTTGTTGCCTCCTCGCTAAACTTCGAAGTTAGAGAACTATGGGGCAACCTTTTTTTGCCCATAGGTCTCCTCAGGTTTACAGTAGGACATATACTATGTCCTCTGGTGGCCCAAAACTCTATATATTGCGGGCTATTGCCCGCTATATGCTAATAGCACTGTAATAGCTTCTTTGTCACAGGCCGGCTTGAATGATGGGGATGAGTGTTTTTCACTCGCCCCATAATTCTCCTTAACCACCTCCCGTCCGCCGAATGTTGAAAGACGGCCGGACGGGAGTCTCCTGGATGCGGGTGGGCGTCTTTAGATGTCCTGGGTGCACAAGCAGGAAACCGCCTGGATTTTAAACAGCCAACGATGGCCATTTACAAACAAGCGGTCCAGCGTCTGTAAAGACGCCGGATCGCTTGTATGATGCAAGTAAGGGTGCACCCCCCCTCCTTACCTCTCTGTCCCCGCGATCCCGGGCGTCCATCCATTCTGGGCGATGTGGCTCTGTGCACTAAGAACGGAGGGAGATCAGTACGCGATCTCCCTCCGCTCTCCTCCCGGTCTCTGAATGCAGGAAGTGATGTAAATTACTCTGTCACTCTCATTTACAGAAACCGGAGAGAAGCTGATGAAGCAGATCTGTGCTACATCAGCTTCTCTGGGGATCCCTAGGTGACATTAGGGATCTTAGAGACCCCTTATGTCTCCATAAAGGGGACCTGTAACTGTAATTTGTTATCACAAAGGGGACTTAGCAACGTATGTGATAACAATAATGTTAAGTGTTAAAAAAAATAAAATAATGCTCACAAAATAAATAAAAATGTACACACACAAAACAGAAAAAAAACCACAAAAATGTTTTACAGTCCCCCACCCCCACATAGACGCGCAAAAATGCGTTAGATGCGCCTACACGCGAAAAAACGACGATTGCTCCAATTATGCTGCACGTTACATATCGCCACGAACGTCGCAATGAGAGCAATAATTCTCGGGCCATCAATCACTAATAGCACTAAATTGATGAGCGGTAAAATATTTTATGCCTATGGCCAATTTTGGCTATGGTGGTTTTTCTGCGATTGAGGACGCGCGTAATTTTAAGGCTTGACATGTTTGGTGTCTATTTA